TTACCACTTTCCATCAGGTGGGTCATTAGTTTGTTTCCCATTCTAAATTGTATAAAAAAAGTCGGAGATTGATGGCTCATATGAAAGGTTATGGGACTTTTAGTTTGAATTACAAATTATTTTCCATCACTTTTTCTTAGAATTACCTATTGCGGCTAAGTATTACAAGGAGCTATCGTAGCGCATTGAATAATTGCCTAATGAGAGTATGACACGTTTTAAACAATACGACATTCTTATTTCAAAATGAAACGAGCGATATGTTGTAGATATTAAAATTACGAAATTAGATATACTATAACGAAATAAAAATACATAGCCAGGTACGTGCAGATACCTGCCTATGTATTTTTTTTTATTTTTACTCGTCTTGTTTGCCTCAGCGTGTTCTTCGTTCATCACAGTTAGTAAAGGTTGTATTAATTATTTATTTATTCATTAAAAATAATTATAACATTATAACAGCAAAAGCCAAATCAATATTATAAATGTAGTGTGCTAACATACAAAGTTATAATAAATGAAGTATTTAATCCGACACTAGATATTTCTGAGCCGCTTCTAATAAATTAATTTACTTTAATAAATCTCTTACGGACTACATATAACATAGGCGTACTTTGTGATATAGGTTTAAAAAAAAACTAACAATGCAAAGTCTGCAACAAAATTCTGAACTGAGATTAGCAATTCCTTTAATTTTTTTCTATTTGAGGAACAAAACACTTCTTCTAAAGAAGTAGCGTTTTTTTTTTTGTAAACAAACGTTTTTTCTTCTAAATTTTCATTTTTTTTTTATATTGTTATTAATGACTTTTTATTACATACAAATACTAATATATGCAAATACACACATATCAAACTCTTTTTTTTGGCGAATCGATATCTTACCTTCGCTCCACATAACCTTCAAGAAAAAAACATATTCCTTTTCAAAAGGCCGCGGCTGTAATGCCTCTAGTGTTGCGGGCGATCATGGGCTACATACAGTACTTAGCATCAAGTGAGCTGCATGCTCGTTTGCCCCCTACGTTACAAAAAAGTCACCGATATAATTAATAAATTATTTATCAATCATGACGATGTATTTTCATAAATTAAATATTAATGCAGGCATCGCTAATAAAACATCTAATTTGTTTTTCGACAATTGTAACATGATTGCTTTTCATGTTACCAATTACTCAATATAATTACATTTGGGTGTAGGACCACCCCGTGTACAGTTGACAATAGAGTGTTGGCAGTTGATGTATGTTGGTATTATTTGATCAACGAAAGGCGGAACAAAGGTGCAGTAACAAAAGATGGTGTGTGACGCAATGGCTTTTGTGGCGGTAGTCGATGAGTTGTGTAATTATGATTATTGACGTTGCATTTAATGTGTAACTTTTTATTACATTACGGCATACTTCATATCAAATGTATACTAAAAGAAGACTTTGTACCAAAGTCGTTTGCTTGGGCATCTCTGTCCCATTCGTGTTTTTACCGTGAAGCAGTTGTGTTTGCATGATTGTGTTTCGGATATGAGAAATAACACCTTAGTTCTCAAGAATGGCAATGCATGGGGGTATCATGGGCGAAACAATATACTTTGTTATGTCCATGGTACTGCTTATGTCTATAGGCGAGGGTTACCACTTTCCATCAGGTGGGCCGCCAGCTTGTTTATCATTCTAAGTTGTATAAAATAAATAAATAAACAAATGAAGATGTTCCAAATTTGTATAGGATCAATATGGAAGTGAATTTTATAAATTACTAGCTATACCGCGGCTTCGCTTACTTGGACCAATACATAAGTATTTTATATGCTAATTTAGGATATAGTCGTATCGTAGGATATATACGTGTACCAAATTTTATTGAAATCCGTTCAGTAGTTTTAACGTGAAAAAAAAAACGAGTAATAAACATTCTGGATGGATACTTGTCCTTATGAACTTTCGTATTTATAATATGAATCGGATAAATATCATTAAAATATTTTAGAATTGGTGAAGAAAAATTAATTGCGAGTAAATTGAAAATTTAAGCTATGACGTAAACGTACCGAAATGGACTTAGTGAGTTCTGATCTCATCAGAATCTTTGCTTCACCTTACCATATGAGAGACATTCCTCTGGATTCCGCCTCACATTAATGCGGCTTCTTCTTCTTTGATTCTTCGGACAGATGAAATCCAGATATCTAAAATCAGCCCCGAATGCTGTATTGCATAGTAGTTTGAAAGAAATCCATGTTAAGCAGTGCTCAATAAGTGGTTTACCAATATAATCCGTTTAGAGACTTTTTCTGTGATAATTTTAATCAAACTTGGTAATCTTTTCATTAATTACAAAATGACAGATCAGTAGATACAGAAAATCCAACAAAACCGAACGGTTTATTTTTCACACGAGTTTACCTCTTTCTGCGTAATATATTTGAACATCTGTTTAGATATAGCAATAATTAAAAGACAAAACAATATATCAAATAATAATATTCCGAACAATGAAATTTAGATCACCCTATTGTATTATTTTTCTTAAGAAATCTTTTATTTAACATTTGGCTTTGCGCAGTACTTTTAATTTGTACAGTATAATGTAAATGGCAATAAAATTTAAATATAACTTTAAAGATGGATAAACTATAGATGTAAAAGGATCCCGAAAAGTCCAAGCAAGAAATAGTTTTTATGAATGAGACCCCGCCTGCGCTGGCAGGGCACTAGTGAAAGATAGTGTAGATACACCTATCCAGTGAAAGGTGATGAAGAAAAGATGAAAGCAGATCAGTTAGCCCGTCGTGGCGAATTTACTAGAATTTAACCACAATGGTTTCTACGTAACCACGTGGAGATAGATTTGATGGGAGCTTTATTGCTAGCAATGGGGTCTGTGGATCCCATTATTGACAGTCCCCTATCCCAACTTTATAGGTACCACTCGTATTTTTATCGTCAAACAGTTGTGCTTGCATGGCCCTCTTATTTTTTTAAAAGTGGGGGAAATAACATTAGTAGGCATAATGCCATAGCAATGCATAAATAATACTATGGACGTCACAGGATAAACTGTAACACCTATTTTTCTATTCATATTTATAAGCAACTGTTATCGTATTTCATCAAGCGGGTTATCAAATCGTTTGCCATTACTGTTTGTCTTAGAAATTTTGCCGGGAAAATTATTCTTTTTTTTTTTATAAACTTCTATTGAAACAGATTGTAGTCTCCGTTTTGGAATGAACGTTTCTCTCTTCTAAAAGACTAGTATTGGTTATCTTAAGAATCTGCATATATATTTAAATTCCGTTTCTATTATCATACAATTGCTAGAAGCTTTTAACCTTTTAGCGAGTAAACGACGCAGCCATACACTTACAAATTATTATATTGCTGAGTAGCGGGCTTCCAGATTCTGCATAATCTATGTGATTACAGTTGTTTGTGTACATATTGTTAATCTTTATAATATGTTATTACATAATTATATAAAATAAAATTCCCAAAGAGGGTTGACGTCAGGCAGGCAGCCGGTTGTAAAACTGTAAGCCAAATCTTTTTGTAATATGAATAAAAATTCCATTACGCCGACCCCAAATAGTAACTGGGATAAGGGTAGGAAGATGATGATGGTCATTATTTAAAGTGAACAATAAAGAGTTTTCATTCATTCATTCATTCATTCTTCATAGATACCAATACGCGATATGTAACGTATGATACACACCTATATTTAAATTAAAATTATATCACAATCATTTTGCAATTCGTCATAGCAACATATGTTTTTTTTATACAACTTAGAATGGCAAACAATTATCCTTTCAGATGATAGAGGAATTTCTGAAATCGGTTTACAACTGACTAAGTTATGAGGTAACAAACACAAAAAGAATACAACCGAACTGAGAACCTTCTTTTTTGAAGTCGGTTGAAAAACTTGTGTAACGTGCGAACAGCCGTGTAATCGCATATATTCACTGAAGCATTTTGCATGATTACATTTGCGTATTACACGCTGTGTTCTCCTCAATTATTTATGAGCCTTTGTTTTATATATCTGAAGATCGTTTTTCATAATATTTATTGTAATATTAGTTCTCGTAAAGTTAGTTAATTATGTTAATTTTATTCACAACGCTTAAGACAATACCACTCATTTGTTTTATAGGAAATAGCAAAGTAAAAACATTGATTAACAATACTGTCAAGATGAAGTCTCATGAATTAAAACAGAACTCAAATGTGCGATCACTAAATAACGCCTCTTTAGTTGAAACAACTTAAATATGGCATTTTTTAACTGAATCTTAATATAAAAGTGTCTAAAATGTCCATTATTTCGATATAACCCAAATTTTAAATGAAAATTATACAGCGTTATTTGAAATGTCTAAATAAAAATTATTGTACCTGAGGTGTTATTCTCGTGGTCCTTTTTGGTGCTTTGATCGGCCATCTAGTTCTTATTGATGTTCGGAGTTAGGTATGAATTAATAAAATATAAATTAATGAATCTACTTTGAAATTCCGTTTACACATTTCGGCCACTTTCGTAAAGCAAACAGATTTTTATTCTCCGTTTTTTCATTTAAATTAAAGGTTGGGAAGAATAAAAAAAAGTTAATTGAAAATGGATAGCACAAGCGGACTTATTTTCTTTTATTTGTTTATTATTTTTTATTTTTATGTGAATTGATCTAACAAAACAAAACCCTCCCAACAGAGTGAGGCCTCTTAAACATAGACCTCCCTCTATTGTATTTGCCACGCATGGCAGGCGGGTTGGCAATCGCAGTTAGATTTGGTAATATTTTAAGAGGGGATGCGGCTGCCCATCCCTCGACCATTAAGTTCCTTTAGTCGCCTCTTACCACACCCAAGGAGAAGGAAGGGAGGGCCTATTCTATGCCGGGACCATACGTTTATTTAGTATTACGGTACTCTAAAATATACTAACTTTTAATGCAAGCATCATTTAATTTATGTATGTTTTGTTTACAGGTGGACACCGGTTTACGAAGACAATATTCAAGTTAATGGAAAAAGGTTAGTTACCAGTCTCCATTGTATAGTTACTACAGTTATAGTTATGTATTGTAATTGTCAATCGAATGCTACGGCAGCGAGTAAATGAGTTTAGGTCTACTGCATCAAATTCCAATGTAGTGGCTCGCTGCAATTCTCCGAACGTATTTACTTAACCGCATTCCATCGAAATGTCGGCAGTGTTAATATAGCGCTCCTATTTCAATGATAATGGAGCGAAAGGTAAAAGGTAAAATGAAATTGAATAGGTAGGTACAAATTGTTATCTATTTATTCATATATTGCTTTTCTTTTGGTTGTACGTATATCCCTTCGCATGACATATATCGAGGATAAATGTTTTGGTTTCTCTAAACTCTGGATTTAATTATGCGTCCGTAGTTTATATCAATAATAAGTTATGGGCCCAGTAGCCAGTAGTTTTCGGAGCCCATAACCTATTATCGAATAAAATACATAAAATACAATAAGATATAAAAAAATGTTACACATTTTTTTATTTCCAAATTCAGTTCGACACTATTATTCACAGCAACATAATATATTGAAGGTAAAAATACTAAGAGAATGACTAGATTTCTTAATGTAAAATTAAGTCTACGTAACGACTAGCATTACACTTCAACCGGACACAAAACGTATCGACAAAAATAGGTAAAATGCTTGAAAAATGTAAAGACCATGGAACCGATAGGTTTATTGGTTTCCTAATATTTTTTTGGACACAACAATGCATCAACTGGACGAGAGAGGTCGTAAATCGAAGTTAGTAGACGTGAAGACATCCTGGTGAAACTCCATCTCAAAACCATTTCGTGATACATAAGATGCGGATAAATTAAAATTAATTACACGTCAGGCGAGGGACAAACGCGATGTCGCGTTGCACGCCGCTCGTCGTCACCCGTTTCTATCTTATTGTGTTTGGTTCACACGGGAGAAAGCACATGTTCGCAGAAAATATATTATAGTTTGGGATGTGTTCACATTGCATCTTTATGAGTGAATATTTATTTATTTATGATTTAATTTATATGTTTTAACTAGCTTTTCGCCCGATACTTCGTGCCCGTAGATTTAGAGAAGTAGGAAAACCAATGAAATAAACCTAGTTGGCGTGTCAAGATAAAATATGCACCAGATTTTAAGTTTAACTTTCGAAAACACCACCTTGAAAATCGCATCTTTCTTAGTGCAGTACTTATTATTTTTAGCGAGTATTTATTATTATTAAAAGACGGGATTTTTCAGGCACAAAAACCTATGACACTGCGACTTTACTATGATCTTTTGTGCTCGTCCTTTTTAAAGTTCGCTTCTAATTTCTATCAGTGATAGGAATTTTAAGATGTTCTTTGTAGCGATGTCTTTTAGCTTCTCAGGATATATACTGTATATTATTTATTTAATACTTTATTATAGTACATAATAATTATACATAAAAATATGATAGAGGTAATCAAACGTACAAGGGCGAGCTTAACTCTAAAAGAACTCTCTTTCAGCAAACCCAGTTTTTTTTTAATACAACTTAGAATGGCAAACAAGCTGACGGCCCACCTGATGGAAAGTGGTAACCGTCGCCTATAGACATGAGCAATACTATGGACATAACAGAGTATACTATTTTGCCCATGATACACCCCATGCGTTGCCATTCCTGAGGACTCAGGTGTTATTCCTCTGTACCCAGTAAATTCACGCCACATCCCACCCTTCAAGCCGAAACACAGCCATGCAAACACAACTGCTTGAAACACGAATGGGACAGAGGCACCCAAGCAATCGACTTTTGTACAAAGTCTCCCTCTGGTAAAAAGTGGAAAGGGGCATCAATATTAGTGAGTAATATGGGCCGCATGTTATTTTAAAATAACTCATACGAAACCGGGGAGGGTTACTAGTACATAACATAGAATTAGTATTTACCTACTTACGGTACGCCGGTTTTAAAAGGTACAGGAAGTTTCCAAATGCAAGAATTTTATATTCTTGTTTTTGGTTCTAATAGATATTTACGCTTGTAATTGACTCAGTTCGTTTTAATCAAACTAGTAATTTATTCGTTGACATTGATTCTATTGGAACATTTATTTTGTGGTAGTTTTTAAACGCGACTTCGTCTGCGTGATCGGCATACGTTGTTTGATCAGGATGTCTATGTCCTTCTCACATCCAAATACTATGCGTATAATGTATGCGTTAAGACATTAAGGTACTAAAAGGTAATAAACAAACTAGTGTAAGACCGAACTTTCGGTATCGGTTTCGGCTAGTTTTGGCCAGAAATTCTACTTTCGGCCTTAGTTTCGGTTTCGGCCAAAAATTTGTCGAAACATTGTGTGTGTGTCTAACTGCAAGTTTTTTCTAAGTTTACTCCAACTTCCAAGAGTAAGTCATAATTTTAACATGTTTTTACATATAAATATGTATGACATATTTGTTCTATACTTTAATTAGTGTTTATTATTACCCTTTAACTATCTGTGTGTTTGTGTAAATAATTATGTAAAAAATACACTAGATTTCAGTATAGAAGAGAAATTTAAAATATGTTTCAGTAAGTTTCGATTTCGCCTGAAACTGAGAACAAGGTCAAAAGTTCAGTTTTGGTTTCGGCTGTAAAACTTGTTTAGGTCGGACACTAAAACAAACAAAGTCTTTTTTACATTTGTCACATTAATAAAGACTATTTAAACGAGCAGGATTTTTCTTCGTTAAAATCAGCGACTATAACAGTGTTTTCCTACCGATTTCAAAAAGAAGAAGGTTCTCAGTTCGATTGTTTTTTTTGTGTGATTGTTACCTCATAATTTCGTTAGCTGTGAATCGATTTAGATTTTTTTTAATCTAAAAGTAATATAGGATATAATTATAGATAAGGCATCGGTAGCCGGTTTTTCATCCGATGAACCATCTGCACGTTTGCCTCCTTAATTATAAAAAAAGATTGGCTACATAGAAATTTTATCAAAATCAGTTTAGTAGTTTAGTTTTATAGTCAAAATAACTGGTATTGCCAGAATTGAAGTCGGTTTTTTTTTGGAACACGATCTTAATTTTTTTCAATAAAATTCGGATTTCAATAAAATTTGGTACACGTATGGACTATATCCTATATTAGCATATACTCGTAGAATACTTTATGTATTGGTCCAAGTAGGCGAAGCCGCGATATAACTAGTAATTTATAAGATTCACTTCCATATTGACTCTATACAATTTTTTGGAACATTTTCATTTTTTTATGCAACTTAGAAAGACAAATAAGCTGACGGCCCACCTTATGGTAAGTGGTAACTGTCGCCTATAGACACGAACAATACTACGGATATAATATAGGTACTGTGTCGCCCATGATACTCTTTATGCGTTGTCATTCCTGAAGACTAAAGTGTTATGCCTCTGTATATATACCTTCTTCAATAGAAGCAAAATTAATATGGGACCAACACGGAAGCAAATCATCATCATCGTCATCATCATCATCTTTTTCTTCTTTCTTCTCCCCTTATCCGGATTATTTATCTAAAGTCAGCGTAACATGTTTTACTCTTCCATTCTCATCTTACCACAGTCATTACCGCATTCACTCCCAATCTGGCCATATCATCTTTTACGCAATAAAAACAACAACCAACACGGGAGCAAAACGTATCGATTTAAAAAATAATCATAAAAATCGATTCAGAATATAAGATTATTAATATTGGTTCTATCTGATTGTAATCTATATAGCAAATTAAATCTTGTAATGGATACTTTGATTATCCCAATATAAGTGTATTAGTTTAATTATATTCATGACGCAGTCAAAATCATTTGAAGCAAGTCATCCTCAGTGTAAAGGTGACCGTGTAAAGGGCCGGGTCGTTGAACTCACTAAAATATAGTTGAACGCAAATATGGTTAGTTCAATATACACATACACAACAATATACAAAACAAGTAAATATTGTTCCCCAGACCTTTTTCCCCATTCCCCATTCCTTTTTTATACCACAGGGCAAAAACGAGCATGCGGCTCAACTGATGGCGAGTAACTACCGCCGCCCATGATCTCCGTTACACCAGATGCATTGCGGCTATGCTACCGGCTATTTAAAAAGGAATATGCTCGTTAAGAAAATGCGGATATATATTTTTTAGCAAAGAAAAATAGCAGCTGCAATTGTTACAAAATCAAAATGAGACCAACACGAGAGTAAATCCTATCAATTGCAAAAAAGGAATTGTAAAAATCGATTCAGAATTGGCGTCGTAATCGCGTGGCATAGTCGCAAAAAAATCACGCAAAACGAGAAATTGCTTTTTAAAATCGTTTTAAAATAAGAATTGTACCCTTGTGTACAATAGAAACAATAACTAATTTCCTATCTTATTAATATTATAATTAGTAAAAATTTGTAATAATAAAGGAATGTTTGTTACTATTTTATGCAAAAATCACTGTAAGAATTTATTGAAATTTGGTACACGGATATATTCTAACAGCAAAAAGGGTACTTTATATACTAATTCACGCGAACAAAGCTATTGGATATAACATGTTTTATAAATGCAAAAAATTTTAACAATGGATGGATGTTTTGCTATTAAAAAACTATTGAATTTTTTTTTATACCACTGAGGTGGCCGTAGCCTATGAACACCTGCAATACTAGAGGTATTACGCGTGCGTTGCCGACCCTGAAGAAATCTCTTTACCCCCCTTTTGAAGAACCCCATGCTGTGGATGGATTTGTATGAAATTTTGTACGCAGGTAGGTTATATTCTAACATCGCACATTGGATATTTTACATACTAATTCACGCAGGTAAAGCCGTAGGATTTAGATAGTAATTAATAGTTTATTTGTAACTTGATATATTTATAAGAAGAGATTCTATTACCGCGCAATTTGACAGATGTAGGTGAGCAATATTTATAGTTAATCTAGATTCTGTCCCTACTTTTGTTAGAAGCCAGCTTTGTAAATGTAGTGCTACTTCATTTAACT